TATATATATATATCAAAGATATTCTAGAATTTGGTACCTGCTGATGTCTTGCCCAAAATATAGGTACGTAGTGACGTGATAGCTTAAGCTACTACATGATATATGATACATGAGATATAAGGATTGAGAAAGTCTTAATAAATGTGACGAGCTTGTGTTCAAAATAAATACAAAAAAAATCAAACCACTACTTCAAAGTGGGGCCAATTCGTTAGTAAAAATGTCTGTTCTCAATCTGTAAAGCTTTTCTTTACTATTAATGATGCAATCACGAATTAGTATGAAGAGTTCAATTTAGTGGGATGCAAATTTATCAGACTCTCGATTTTAAAAGTGAAAAGATTAGTTGTGTGACTGTGAAAAGGTTAAACTGTACCTCAGTCATTCTTATTAATTTTTATTTTACCAGCAAGACACGCCAAAACTTTGAATATTTGTGATGTTAGCTTTAAAGGTTATGCGTGTGTTGCCTACTGGAAATTTTCGTTACCGAGTCCTTTTCTTGATGAAAATTGAGTCTTACGTGATAGGACGATTGAAAAACCTATCTTAATGTAGTTTTTCAACGCAGGCATGTATTTTGGATGCAAAAGAAAAATTTACCTTTCTGTTAATTAAATTTTATCATAAAAGATATTTTCATGCGAGTCATGAGAGCGTCGTTAAGGAATTAAGACATGGTTTAGGTGTTGTTTACGCAGCTTAGTAAAGAATTTTGTCGAATGCCAATTAATTAAAACTTAATTTTTAAGTCAAAAAATTGCTGATTGACCTATAGTCCAATCAGGTTTCTGTCTTAAACCCTTCACTTACTGTGGTTTTGGTTATTTTGGTTCGTTTTTAGTAGAAGTAGGCCGACAAAGAGTTGAACGTTATTGTGCCTCTTTTACCTGCATAATCTCTCGAGCTATACTTATTGAAGTTGCTTACTCCTTTAGCACTGATTTATCTTAAATGGCATTAAAACGTTTCATTTCACAAAGGGGAATACCTTTAATTATTTACTGTAACAATGGAACAAATTTCAGGTGAATGAGTCATGAATTATGTCAAAGAGTTAAAAAATTAATCTTGATAAGCGAAATGAATTTGCTTCACAATAAGAGATTGAGAAAAGATTAAATTCACCAAGCATGTTGCACAAGGATGGTGCATCAAAGCGCTTAATTTGCTGAGTAAAAACTGTACTTGCATTTGTAATAAAAAATTATGTATCCGCTCACTTACGTATCAGTCGATCCTCGAGATAAGGAAGCGCTCACTCTGAATCATTTTATATTAGGTGCGTTATCTAAGAAAAATTCATTTTGGAGATTAGGACTCACAATTACATTGTTCTAAAAAGCACTAGAAAGTAGCTTAATGTCATGCCAATCGACTTTGGCAGACACAGTTGTGCGAATACTTACCTATACAGATTCTGCGAAAAAAGTTCTTAGTTAATAAAACTCCATCAATATAACAAGATATTGTTTTTATCTTGAATAAAAATTTATATAGGAAGCAGAGTAGAAAAGGCGTTATCATAATTGGGGGTATTGGGCGGTTGTGAGGTGCAGCAGAAGGGTGCGGAAGGTAGAAAGCTCCGCCCCAACAACTATATAATGTATGAAGATTCATCTATACTTATATTATACAGCTGTATGGACAAAAGTAAATCTCAGTTTCCCCTGACGCCCAGAAGCTTTCTCTCAATTAATAGAGCAGATTATTTAATATTCAATTACTTTTGCATCAAATGTTACGAATCCTTATTTGTCAAACATGCCTCATGTTGACACCAGCGCCATCACAACATTTATACGTTGAATCAATTACAAGATCAAATGCTTACTATTGAATAAATCCCATCAGGACTCATAATATACACAACACTTATCACAATAATGGCTGCCAGATGCACGGCGTTGATCAGCTGAAGAGGTTTCATACAAAATTATTGGCTAACAAAATACTAGCCAAGGTATTGGCTGAGTTCTGACACTAAGAGATGGAGAGGGATATTCAGGTAAGAAAGGAAGAGTATGAAACCTCCAAAGCCATACGTAGAGTGAAAGCGAAATTAAAGTAATAACAAGATTTACGGAGTGTCTTTTTCTGATGAGAGATTTGTGACATAGTGAATCAGCTGGGTACTTGAACACGTCACAAAGCCCTAGTTGCCAATGATCAATATCACAGATACATACGGGCACACCTTCGCCCGCATAACTACACACACGAATCTTCTGCGGGAACTAGACGCATGGGGCCACGACCGGGAGCGAGAAAGCGCTTAGACGCTCGAAACCAAGCGGTGGTTTTGGTGCCATGGAAAAGGGAAAGGGAAAGCAAGGCAGGGGTCAGAAAGCGAGATTCTGGGAAAGAGTTCCCTTTGGAGCGGATTGACTAATTTCAAAAGGCTAGACGTTTGATAACCGGCTTTTCTTTTTCGTTCGTGAATTATTTTCGTGATGATTCCTCATCACTGAAGCAGTAAATCCCTCGAGGTAGCTTCCCAGACGTACTCGTCTTTGTTTGCTGATTAAATTGCCTATCGTTCGTAAATTTTATTAAGATTCTTTGTATTATCGTCGTACCGTGCCATCTTGCTGACAAAACCCGTTGATTCTGTGGCGTGTCAACAATTACATTCTTTTTTTTATGTACTACAATTATTGATTCGAAGATATTGACCAGTCCTATTTGATATATATAGCAAAGGGATCAAAGTCAATGTTAAATCGTTGATAGTTTCGGTAAAGGGGAAATTGATCCAAAAGATCATGTATTCGAATGTATTTTCAATTTAATTTTCTTTTGTGCGATCGGTACGGGCAGGCGAAAATAGTGCCGAGACTTGTTACACGTTTTCTTTTTGAGCTGATTAGGGTTTTAGTTTATTTATGTATGAATTGGCATTTTCTTATAATTTATGCGATACCCAAGAAGAGATTATTTCGGCTTTAAAAATAAATTTAGTTCCAATTCAAATCGTTGATTTAACATGTTTATTTGAAGAAATGGTACTTATAGATTAATGAATGAATTATGTATTCTAATATCAAGTTTATTTAGTTCTCGATTAAGTTGTAATTTAGTTTGGTTTCAACAAATTTCAATAATAACTTCTTATTTTCTGTAAGCTAAGAGCTTTACCATTGTATTAGGCTACACTCGTTAAATTGTTATACACAGTTATACATTTAAATATATCTTAAGATTATTTTTGCAATAATTTTGTATTTCTTTTGCGCACCTGACCTTCCTGGTCTCAATCATATAGTTATTCCCGTATAATAAATAAATGCGTGTCGTGCCGCATGATCAAAACGCCTTATCCCCTTCCTCGAAGAAATTGATACACGCATTTCACGCCCGTGTTCCAGAAAACGGCTAACTCCGAGGTTATAACTATCTGACTCGATCGCGAGAATACCAGGAAACCACGCAACATTTTTGACCACGAACTATTTCATGCATCAACTTGACGATGAGAGCACGCATTGCACATGCTCTCTTTTAAAAATGAGAAATAAAAAAATTTTTTTAAAACTGCCATTTGTTCACCAAAATAATAAAAAAATGTGATTGAATTGAAAAAATGTCATTAATGCATTTGTTACTAACAAAAAAGATTCTTTTGTTTATTCTTTATTTTATATACAGTTTTGTTTACTTTCAAAAATTTGACTTGTTTTAAAAGTATTTTTTTCTGCTTCTGCTTTTTCATAAAAATAAAATAGCACTAAATTAACGCAGCGTTAAAAAACACGTCACATCAGGAATATTCTACACTGATAATATCTTCCATAAAATAAGGGATGCAAAATGGTTCTACATAAGTTTGGTAACAAACATTTTAAACACAGTTTTATGCCTGTATTTGTGAGCTACCGAGTTTTTGCGTAGAGTATGCAACCGCCAGAAATAAAGACATGTAGATTTTTCAAATATAAAGGTATTACAATGAAAACTAAAATATTTCTTTCATTAAGTAAGGTTTTAAAAAATAGTCATCTTTATAGCAATTACCCATACAAACTTTTTGCACTAAAAAAATTTGAGAATAAAAAAGTAGAAAAAATTACTGAGAAATTTTTATAAGTTGTTCAATGCTTTATACTGATAATTCTGATTCAGATGAGTTAGAAGAATGTAGAAGTGAAAAAAATTACCTCATTTACTATTGAAAAATATCAAAATAATTATCGTTTACGAAAGCTGGAAGATTAAGTGAGTTAATTTGGTAGAGTAGACCATATCAATATCCTTCATGTTTATCTGATACAAGTGCCGGTCGTTGATTTGATGTTTACAATAATTGTTGTTACAGATGATACAGTATCTGCGGACATAAAATTAGAGACAGAAACAGAAGATGGCGTGGTCGGCGAAGATGTACCGTCAACCCTGTCGCCTAACATGTATCATCCACGGCGTGCTCTCAAAAATGCAATAATTGACTGGTTACCAGAGTTTAATAGAAAGCGTGTGGCCTTTGGCGTGATTGCCAAGCCCCAGCCATGTGTCGCACCAACTGTACCTATTCCTATTATACCATCAATTAATACTTGCATGAGCTTGACATCAGCGACGACAACAGCAACTGTAGTGGCCACATCTACATGTAGCCTAATTACCACAGCTATTAGTCGCGATAATGCAGATCTTTTCATGCCAGTAGCTTCTGCAGTTTCCATCAGCAACTCAAGCCATTTGCAGGCTTTGGCTGAGGTTTGCACTAGCGTCATTGGAGCTGATACTTTCAAACCTCCTAGTGGTCCTGTCATGAACTCCCTTGTGTCCGACACAAAGGTTGTGAAGGAGCCACTTCTGCAGCGAAGTATAGTCAACAATGTCTCTAGTACTTCTATTTCTACCGAACCTATGGACTGCAACACCATACCTCCTGATTCTCGTACCCTTAAATACAAATCGTCTACTCGTCAAGAGTATGATTCAATGGTTGAAAGCACATCCGTAAGTATTAAAATTCAATAAATGTATCCATACAAACGTTCGATTATTATTGTCATTTCCCTATTTTTATTAATTTTCGCACTTTCTTCTATTTTTTTACGTTATGGATACATGCTCCATCGTTAAAATCTTTATCTATACTTTTATTTAAAATAAGGGCACCGAACCGGGTCAGGGTCACTGACACTTTTAGTTGGAAGTGTATCGTATATACCTTCGCGCTCGGATTCTTTATGTGAGAAAATGGCATTGAACTTTTTTTCTAATTTATAACGATATTCGCGAAAAATGCTATTCAATTTTAATTCGTAATAATCAATAAACAAATTTATCATACTGGATTTACAGCCATCACTTGATATTTTTTCTTTAATTAATTTTATTTTATTTCTTAAGAAACTAGTTTTTGTGTACGAGTCCGAAATTTCATTATTTAAAATTAATTTGTCTAATTTAGAAATAGCTAACTTATGTTTCATATTCGATCGGAAACTAAAAAAGGTAACAAAATTAAGCTTATTGGTACATTGTGTGATATGTCTTGGAAAAACGTTACAACTCTTACATTTAATTAAAAATTTTCGCTTTAATTCACCGCTTTTCACTTCTTTCTGAATACAACCAAGCTTATAAAAACTAAAACATACATTTCTACCGAAGCATGCACGTATGGAGTCAAGCACCCTTGAAAGCGATTCAAACTTCCTACTGGTAAAGATGGTAAGTAGTTGTTGCAATCTGGTGTTCTCCATAGCATTACAGTGTAGATTCCGGTTTAAATATCAAGGACGAACAGCTTCCACCAGCGTCCACAAATAATAATATAAGACGTCCAATGACAGTTGGTTAATAATTGAAATAACGTCCAATGGTGGTACTGTCTAATTTTGTATTCATTGAAAAAAAAACGACGTTTCGGCCGTTTAGGCAATGTCCTGGCCCTCATCAGGTACAAAAATCTATGAGTAATGAAAAATTCTTTATAATACAAATTTTGATAAATACAATAAACGCAAATTAAGTAAAGTGTATAATATACCTCTGACTCTTACGAAGGGGTTGTAAAATCGTAATGTAGTCAGAGTTTCAAGTTTTGTTGCTTTTATACCCTGCACATATGCAAATGACACAATATAAGCACACAATACAATCAAATAAGAATCGCAAGCAGTTCCTTATAAGACATACGTGAACAGATAATGTTTTCCTAATACCATAAATAAAAGAGGCCCTCAAATCATGTAAGTAGAGTTAGCCTCCTTTCTTAATTGACTTAACGAGAGACTTGTAACAATTTTTTAAATTTTCTGTATCTTGTTGTCTATTAATATTATTATTGATATAATGCATATTTAACATTTCGGAAAACAGGTGCTTTTTATAATTTTGTTCTGTTTCTAAAATTTGTATTTATCGAAATTAAAGTTGTGTGTAAATTCAATGCTATGTTGTGATAGTACAGATGTATTCCAATACAACATAAAATAGGTATCATTTACACATTAGTAGACTTTTCTATTAAGTTAGCAGACACTCAATTTCATAACGATAATTTAAAATTAATCAACAAATTTTTACTAGCTAACAACTATCTTCAAAAATTTATTAATAAATTTTTAAACAAAAGAATGAATACCTTAAAAAACATCAACATGATTGACATTTGCAATAGAAACAATAATAATTATTAAGTAATCTTACCATTACCGCATACCCCCCACTTGCACGGTCCTATCAAATATTTTTCTAAGAAGCTTCACATTGGTCTTGTATACAGTTTAAACAATAAATTGAATTAAATCTTTTCACTTGAAAAAGATGTAACCGAGCCACTCGATAAAAATAATGTCGTTTACCACATACGATGCGCGAATTGCAACTGCTGTTATGTCAGGCAAACATCAAGAACTTTAAAATTAAGAATGGCAAAACATAAAAGAGACATAGAGAAAAAAAAGGAAACATCTGTACTATCACAAACTAACATTGAATTTACACACAACTTTAATTTCGATAAAACAAAAATTTTAGACACAGAACAAAATTATAAAAAGTGCCTGTTTTCCGAAAGGTTGAATATACATTTTTTCAATAATAATATTAATAGACAACAAGATACAGAAAATTTAAAAAATTGTTACAAGTCTCGCGTTAAGTCAATTAAGAAAGGAGGCTAACTCTATGTACATGATTTGAGGGCCCCTTTCATTTATGGTATTAGGAAAACATGATCTGTTTACGTATGTCTTACAAAGAACTGCTTGCGATTCTTATTTGATTGTATTGTGTGCGTATATTGTGTTATTTGTATATGTGCAGATTATAAAAGCAACAAAACTTGAAACTCTGACTACTTTACGATTTTACGTCCCCTTCGTAAGAGTCAGAGGTATATTAAACACTTTACTTAATTTGCGTTTATTGTATTTATCAAAATTTGTATTGTAAAGAATTTTTTATTACTCATAGATTTTTGTACCTGATAAGGGCCGGGACATTGTCCAAACGGCCGAAACGTCGTTTTGTTTTTCAACAAATACAAAATTTGGCAGTACCATCGTTGGACGTTATTTTAATTATCAACCAACTGTCACTGGACGTCTTGTATTTTTATCTATACTTTTATTTTTATCTCTGTCTTCATTCTTATTTTCTTTTTTATACCTATCATCTTAGTAGATGTTTAACTGGATATGTAATAGTAAACCAATATAAGATTTGGTACTAGTGGTTCCTTTTATTCATCCAAACCAGAGTATACAGTATAGATACATATAACGAAAGCATGAAAAAATGTCCCTCATGCTAATGCAGTCTTGCAGAGATGAATTAAATTATGTGTTCGAAGACTAATACGAAAATAATAATTGAAAGGACCCCGCACAAACCCTTAGGATATTCTCTCTCGGTTAAATTGGCTGAAAATTTTATTTATTACAGATTAAGTTATCCTGAATAAGATGCAACTATTTTTTTTCCGAGCAAATGGCTAGTTTTTTAGAAAAAAATTGTTGAGGATGGCGATTTGTCATGAGGTTAGTTTGACAGGTGGCATGAACCATTACAACCTTAAAATGTATATATACACACATATAAATGTATATTTATTGTTTTTGACTCTTGATCACCGTTTGCACCTGCTGAAGAAGAGCGCGTGATAAATTCTTAATGAAGCAAGAGTCAATGGAAGGGGTTAGGCTAAGAAAGGAGTGAATAATCCCATAGCCTTAACGATGTGGTTTGAACTGTCGGATAGGCATAATCAACTGTGCAATAGATGTTTATTATATATGCGCTCATCTTCAATTGAATATGCTTTTTAAAACCATTTACAATATTTTGCAATTTCTCACGGTCTTATTCATCATGAAAACTCTATTATTATTTTTTTTTTAATTTAACTTTGATATGTTATACAATTATTTTTACATGTGATATTTTTCCTATTTCATTTAAGGCACTAATAAAGTTCCTTCCTTTTTCTGCTCTTTTACTGTAGTCTAAAGGTCTAATACAAACCCAGAACATGATTTTTATTTAATAAGAGTCCCCGAGTACTCAGTTCCCATTTTATTGTTCTTAATTGATTTAAGAATATGTTATTAATAATCTCTTTTTCTGATAAGTTCTTGTATATTACTCTTAAATAATTATTATAGTAAGTGCACTATACTTTTACTTTGTATTATTAGATGAACCTGCACCCCCTCCCACTTCCAACCTCGTAGCTGTCTCTGATGAAAAGCCGTCACCACTGATCCGACCTATTTATCAACAACTGCAGTGTCATGAGCGGTCATGCTCTTCCTCTTACCAGGGTGGCCGTTACTACAATCCCGCTCTAATGCTATTCACCGTTGGTCCGATTCAAGCCCTAAACTTAGCAGTGGTTAATGTTCTTGAGTTGCAATCCTTCCTATTAAATACTCAGATAAGTTCAATAAATTATTAATGTATAAATAATCGTAATAGTAACGCGTTACTTTGTTTCAATATTTTTATTAGATACACCTGTACCAACTCCTATNAAATACTCAGATAAGTTCAATAAATTATTAATGTATAAATAATCGTAATAGTAACGCGTTACTTTGTTTTAATATTTTTATTAGATACACCAGTACCAACTCCTATTCCTTGTCTCGCATCTGGTTTTGATGAGAAGCCGTCACCTCTAATCTGACCTATTTGCTAACAACTGCAGGGCCATTAACGATCGTGCTCTGCCTCTTGTTGAAGTAAATAACTAGAATAATACTTTCTTTGATACTCTAATACTTTCTTTTAAACAATCATTTTTGTGACGAACATTAGGATCCGATTAGCATTGAGAACTGTTTGGACTCTTGTTTTTCGAAACAAGTTGAAAGACGAGTATTGAGATCTATTCAAATATCTGTTACTTCACTGATCTCAGTACCTTCATAATTACGAGATTTAATGCATACCTTGTGATTCATACGACCAATTTGAGACGTACGTTAAGGCAAACCTTGAGATTTATCAAAAAATACGTTATAGGACGTAATATAAGACCAGATTTAAGTAAAAGTGTTTGACTCTCTTTTTCACCGTTAACATGACCAGTTCCATGAAAATTTTTGAGACCTTGTTTAAGACGTATCATAAAACCAAATTGAAGACAGACCATTAGAAAAACATTAAAATCTATTTTCAGATCAATATTTTTATGATATTTAAAAATTATCTAACTACCAGATTTAAGACAAGATATAAGACCTAATATCCGACCAGTTTTTAAAGTGACTAAAATAATTTTTCAAGAACTATTTGAATACTGCTGTTACAAAATATTCAATACATATTACTTGTTCCAATACATTGTAATATCAATAATGAGAATGTTTTCTAGATCTATTTGAAACCAGCTCAAAGACATCAATCAAGATCTTTTTAAAAACGCTATTTGTTTTGGGTCCCAATGAAATTATGGGCTTTTTTGTAGATTTGTAGTTTGTAATTACTAAACAAATGTTGAC